GGAGAATATTTTATTTCAGTTAATGATTTCTTCTTCAAGCCACCTCTGTGAACATACAGAAAACTTTCATATACTTGCAAGTCACAAGGCAAGTTGCATCCTTGGAGATCTGAGGGATTCCTGAGAGTAACTGGTGCAGGGATGGCCTTTTCTGGAGGGGTCCCAGTGCTCTGGGGCAGGAGCAGCGGGACTCACAGCGGGACCTTGGTGCCATCAGCGAGGTGAGCTTCGGCTTTGGTCACCCCAGCACTGGTGCAGCCCTGGTGCCTGCCACCTGACATGGCATTTCATTAGAGAGCTGCATGCAAACTGCTTGAGAGCTTGTTCATATAAAATAAAAATTAAAAGATGTAATTGGGGGGAAATCTGTATTAAGCTGTGAAGTAATATTGGCAGTGGATTTTTTTTTTTTCTTTTTTTTTGGAGGGTAGTAAAGTTACTCTGCAGTAGTGGGTAGGAGACAGTTAAGTGTTTTACAGCCACCTTTGAATAGCAGTTGGGTGAAATCCTTTATCTCGAGCCTCATATTGTATTAGATAATGACCAGGAAGCATCAGTATTTATATTACCAGGTTTCAGGTGATTAGTATTATTCCTAGAATTGCAGACATGATTGTTCCTATGTTACCATTTCTTTATAAAACGTTTATGCCATAAATGTTGGGTTCTGTTGTTCAGAGTAGCTGAAATCTTTCAATTACTTGTGCATATATATATAAAAAAAATCAGTAAAATATACAAGGTCAAGTGTTATTCTTTTCTAGGCAGCTAAGGAAGGTGATACAGTTGAGGCTGTTTGTGTTTCTGAAGTTTTGTCAGTCACAGTTGACAGAAAAAAATAAATACATCTGGATTATGCTCACCAGACATCAGGAGGAGTGAATCAAAACTCTGATGCTGGTTATTTATAGCTATTTACAAATATTTTACTTTTAAAAAAACCAACTTTGAGACAGGAAGAGAATATTTTCCTTAACTTCTCTGGAAGTTTTATTTTCCTTCATATGCTGCACCAAGCAAGAGTCTTACTCAGTTTTCCAAATTCTCCAGCACATAGTAGTTAAATGTTTTTATGTCAATTAATATTGACAGGAAGTCGGTTTGAACAGCATTGGAAAATGGAAGTAGTTGGCAGAACTGGCTAATTTCACTGAATTTCCTTTTGCTAAAAATATCTCTAAAAGAAGGTCTCCTTTTGAGATACAATGAATCTTTGTTTGACTGTAGTTTAGAATTGACGATGACTCTTGTCCTTTAACCAAAAGGGCTTGAAAAATATGAATAACCTTTTGAAATATATTTAGTTTCCTCTGTAGTATATGTAATTATGCTCATGTCTGCCTAAAGTTTGCATACATGCTTAACTTGATGTATGTGAGTAACCCCATCGGCTTGAATGGTCTGCAATAGAAATGAAAGTTCTGCAGAGATGCTTACGTGAAGTCAAGCGTTTCATTTGTATACGTGTTGGTGGGATTCTGGAGTTCTGAGTGTAGTTGCCCTGTCAAATTTTGAGACACAACTCTCTCATTAATGTAGGAAATGGCAAGATTTTAGCACTGCTAACTGAAAGCATACAGCGTATAGATAAGAATACATATTCATATTTATGCATGCAAATATGTTCAAATAATTTTAGGTTGCAATGGCAGTATCAAAAGTTGCAAAATACTAGAAATAGGATGAGTTTCGTATGGTTATTTAGGTCTTGTGCTGCCACTGCGTTATGATACAAGAACATCATACTGTACTTACAGGACAGCCTAGAACAGTCATTTCATAGGTTTGGCCAGTTTGGGGTGTAAGTCAGCGTTATTTAGGTAGGAAGAATTCTTGCTGGGACAGCTTTCACTTGTGCAAGTTGGTGATTTGTGGTGACTGAGAGGATTGTAGGAAGAGGAAGGGTTTTCTCATGAATCACAGTTCTGCCCTGGCTCTTGCACTTGGTAGGGCTTTTCCCCCCTGAAATAAGAGGGGAAGAAAGGTTGCAGGGATGTCAGGAGTAATGGGAATCACCAGGACACGAACATTGCCTTGTGGCAGAGGGGTTTACTGCTTCACGGAGTAACTGGGTGCAGCCCGGCTGGTACCTGCTGTGCACCATGGCTCTGCAGGGTGTTGGGACCTTCTGCCGTCTGGAATCCCAGCCCCGCTGAGTGGTCAGGGGAAAAGGGAGATGCCAACGACGCTGGAGGGATGAGGCTATTCCAGTCGAGGCATTTTCTTTGATGTGATTCCCCCTGCATTAGCTTTTATTGCATTTCATTTGGAAAAGGTCTCGTCATGAGCTTTTTCTTCTTGTGAGTGCTAGTTGTTGTCATTCTAGGTATTAGAGAATTACTTCAGTTGGAAAGAAAGAGGCTAAACCTTCTCAAACTATTCTCAATACATTTTGCCATCTCGGGCAGTAATTAAAATCCTCAGTAAAGAGATAAAAATGACATAGGTGCAGTACATTTAACTGTTAGCCTTCTGTCACTGAACAGGGAGTGTATTTTGGAGGCCTGCTGCACTGTGAGCTTGGCTCCAGTTTCTGTGTCTTAGAAAAGCAGGGCTGCCGGTGGCTTGCGTGCAAGTTGTCTGCCTCCCAACATCTTTAACTGTGAGGTGATGTTGAAGTCTCTGGTCATGACCCTGTTGCTCTGAATTTTCTTTATATGTTTCAAATGATGTTTTTAATGACTTTTCAATTTTTATCCTTTTGTATAGGCAAAAGATTTTTGTTCCTTACAGAAAATGAAATGTTTGACTTTACAATTAAAGTAATTGCTAACGAAGATGGTGAAATGCGTGCAGATTATTTGGAGCATTTGCACTACTGAGCTGCTTTCAGCAGTACTAATCTCCAGCCGCCTTTCCTTTCTGAGGCTCTTTCAAAACCTCCTTCAGCTGCAGTGCACATAAGAAATGAAACAAATCTCATGGCGGGTCCTAAATTTGATTAAACTGAAAGCTCATGAGAGCAGCAGCCCTTTGAGTATTTTGCACTTTAGGGGCTTGATGTGGAGCAGTAGCTCTCTGGCACTGCTTCATGGCTGAGTTTTCTGTGTATTATCAGAATTTAGAAACTGTGTTGGTTCTCGATTCTTTGTGTTACCTTTCAAACTGAAAACAAGTTGTCAGGCATTTCAGGCTCCCACCCTTCAGTCAGCTGCGGTTTTGCATTTGGAGTCATTAAATCTCCTATTGCTGGAGTTTTACAAGCACGTAGATTATACAGTGTGGAGGACAACTTTCAAAATATAACACAGTGAGGTTGGTAATCTTGAGGATAAGTCAGGTTAATGGATGGTGTTAAAGCTGGGTGGAAATCTTAAGGATGCAGTAAGGAACCGGCTTGTGCTGCTTTAGAGAGCTCTGCGCTGGAGAAAATTTCCAAGTTAAAAGCTGTTGTTGCTTGCTGCTGCTAGCGAACGGCCGTGGTCCTTTGCACCAGAGCTGTCCAGAACGCAGTGACTGGAGGCAGTAGGTTGCTCTGATACTACGGGGTTTGTAGCACACGTGTTGTGATCCTGCAGCAGTAATGAATTAGGGTGAAGGACTGGAAGCCACCTCCTGGGGGAGGTTCTCTTTTGAGCTTCGTTACTAACCAGCTTGATTTGCAGCTGAGCTAAAGTGCCTTGCCCTTCTTACTGTCCTTAAATAGATTTTTCTTTAAGTTTGGGTTTGGTTTTTTGTTTTTTATTTTTTTAGTGTGAAAAAATATATTGAGCAAAGTGTGCTCCTTTGTGTTCTCCGAGCGCATGTTCATACTTGAAGGCAAGCACACATTGCATAACTATGCAATTAAAAATAGTTACTTCAGCTTTGCTAAAAAGGTTTTTATTTCTAGTATTTGCTGATGGCTTAAGTGTGCAAAATATTATTTAATTGATTTTGATGACGAGCTTTACAAACTTGTGCAGAAGATGGAATGCCGGGACAGGGACACAGCTCCTGTGGAGGTTTTAAGGGTATTTAAACGTAGCTCTGCTGGCTGGGGAAACAAGGTACTCTGCTGAAATACAAACAATCTTTCTTCGTCAGGGAGTGCTGCTAGGCCAAAAGGTGGACTAACATGGAGATGTGAAACTCTTGTTGCTGTTGATCGACCATTTATTTATTTTCTTCCACAAAGATACATTCAAAAACCTCTCCAGAGTATTCACAATCATCAAGTTTGAATTGAAACATGAAGCAAAGCTACTTTCTATGATGCATGATGATTTTGTAAAAATGTAAATGGGGCTCTATAGGTTTCAGACATCTGTTCACTTATTAGGCTGCATTATAATCATGGGGGGGAAAAACTCAGATACTGTCTAAAGATATGCTATATTCTGCTCTCATGAGAAGTTCCTTCATAATTTTGCTTGTCTTAAAGCATAATATATTAATTCCTCTGAGCCTTCAGTTGACTTTTTGATAGCTTTATTTTAAAAATCCTTGTGTTTGCATCTTCAAAGCGTGTGAAGCTGGTGACAGCGTTCCGCTCCATGTTAAAAGCAGAGACCTGCGGTTCAGAGCCTGTCAGAAAGCAGATCTCGAGGCAAAGTGTTTGTGTTACGGTAGCGTATTCGATTTCACTGTAGATTGAATTGACTCTTTTGTGCCGAAAGAATAAGCCTGTGCAGATTTGCTTGAAGAGGTAGGCACTTGAAATTATAGCAAATCTTTATTGACTGATTCAGCATGGAGGGGAGAGAGAATATTCACGTTGGTGACCAGGGTGTTATGCTAAGAACTAGATAAGATATAAGACAGTGACTCAAATGTAGTACTGAAGGCAGTATTATGTTTGCTAATTGTAATTTTTCTTTCCTCATGTATGCTAATCAGTATAGCTCTTCTGTCACAGTGGGTCTCCTGAGCAGTACGTGTAGTATTTTTGGTTTAGCACTGCGTGTTTCATTGACATTTGAAGAGAAGGACAAATCGTTAACCTGAGTTAGTGAGCACAGGCTTGATGTAGAAACATTCGACGCTAACTTCAGCTTCTCTTCTCTCTGTGTTACAGAAATACTAATACGGAGCATTTGACCTTCTAATCTCTACAGCTGAATCTCCTGATACCAGGATTAAGAAAGAGTGCCTTCAGAACCAATATGTAGCAAATGGGTATAACACCGCTGAAGCTCCTCCCTTGGTTCAACGCTTGCATGTTTTAAGGATCCTTGTCGCCTCAGCAGTGAATTGTTCTTGTGAACTTCAGAAACAGGTTTCATGTGGTGCTTGCTAAACGTTGAGTCACCATGAGTAGTAATCTAGGAAAAGAAAAGGACTGTAAAGAGAAGGATCCAAAAGTCCCATCGTCAAAAGAAAGGGAGAAGGAGGCCAAAGCCTCTGGAGGATTTGGGAAAGAGAGCAAAGAAAAGGAGCCTAAGACCAAAGGGAAAGATGCCAAAGATGGAAAGAAGGACTCCAGTAGCACGCAGCCTGGGGTAGCTTTTTCAGTGGACAATACGATAAAGAGACCTAATCCAGCCACAGGTACCCGCAAAAAATCCAGCAATGCTGAAGTGATCAAAGAGCTAAATAAATGCCGGGAAGAGAATTCAATGCGCTTGGACTTGTCCAAGAGGTCTATACACATGCTTCCATCAGCTATCAAAGAGCTAACGCAGTTAACAGAACTTTATTTATACAGTAACAAACTGCAGTCCCTACCGGCAGAGGTGGGCTGTCTTGTGAACCTGATGACACTGGCCCTGAGTGAAAACTCACTTACCAGTTTGCCTGACTCTCTTGATAACTTGAAGAAACTGCGCATGCTTGACCTGCGGCATAACAAACTTAGAGAAATCCCTTCGGTGGTGTATAGGCTAAGCTCTCTCGCCACTCTTTACCTACGCTTTAATCGTATAACTACTGTGGAAAAGGATATCAAAAACTTGTCAAAACTCACCATGCTTAGCATACGAGAGAACAAAATCAAGCAACTACCTGCTGAAATTGGTAAGCGATTACACTGATTGAAAGTCTGGTTCTATGCTTACGTTCATTTTGCAATTCAGTTAAGTATACATAAACTGCCACTTCTCCCAGTGCCCTTCTCCATTAAGACTTCATAAAACAAAAGCTCACGATCATACTGTTGCAATCTTAGCTTATATTGAGAGTAATCAATACCTTGGATATTTTTTTTTAAAAACAGCAAAAGCCCTTTTCTTTCATCTATCATCTTAAAATCATATGTATCTTGTTTTCGTCTTTGCCTTGTGCTTTCACATATTGTGTCTTCAGAGCCCAGATGGTTTAAAAAAAAAAATATAAAGGGGCCTATTTCATTTTAAGATTTCTTTATAAATCATTTATGAACTGTTTCAAGTTATAAACACATTATGGGCATGTTACAGAGGGGTGTGACCATGGTAATACAAGGTTAGAATAGGTAGCTACACGCTATTACCATGAGCAAGCTGCTGGATGCCGTAACAGTTAATAATGTAGGTTAATGATTCGTGAAAGCCTCTACCTTTTATAAGTCATGAATATATTAATACATGGACTCTTAATATACAGGGACCAAATGTTGTATGCATGGGTGATGATTCTTATGACTTTTTAATGAATATTTGTTTTTCCAAACGTTGTTACAAAAGTTTGAAAGATGGTGAAATAGTACGAAAGTGGCTTATTAATTTCAATAGTTTATTACAAAAAAATGTGCTGGAATAGCTATAAGGAGCTCCTAAGTTGTTCCTAATAGCTTCTGATTCATGGAAAACCTCTCTTTATAACACTGTTCTCAAGCGATATTTGAACAATGTGTGTGCCTCATAAAAGGGAGATTCTCTCATCAGTGTTCTATGTATCACCTGTTTTTAATATGCAAGCATAGCTTAGTCCCTTTAGGGGGAGGGAGACCATAAGCTTCATGCATTTAAACTGCTTCGACTTTCTTCAAGTGTGGAAAAAAAACTTGTAAAAGCCCTTGTAACACTGTGAGTAATAATTCCTGTGCCCTGTTTTTAAAACATGATGTGGGACTTTTTCCTGTTAACCAAGCCAGTTCTTGGTTAAGTGTTGTGTTAAGTAACATAGCCAGTGCTATGTGAAGTGTTACTGAAGTTGGCCCCTATGCTCACCGACCTTGCAGAGCTTGGGAAATGCTCTTCTTTGATCTCTAATAGATCTTTTTCAAACCAGCAGCGTTTGCCTTCTTCTTCTGCACCTTGATATGAAAGACACATCAGATGATAACATGTTCTTGATGGCAGGAACTCCTGGGCACATCTGAAACTGCTGATCATGTTACCAGCGATGTCCGGTACAGACAGCTTCTGTGCATGATAACGGGAGTGAAGAAATGTAGTGAGGCTGTTGGTTCTTGCTCCAAGTCTTTGGCTCCCTGTAGCAGCTGTTGGAATGGGTTCTACCATAGCCACAGAAACGCTTTCTTGCTAGGCAAAAATTAAATGGTTAATGTGGTATGTTTTCTGATCAGGCACGAGCATCTCAGCAATCCTGGGAATTTCCCCTGGGAGAGCTAAGGAATTATAATTTTGACCTATTTTGATGCTTCAGTTTAAGTCCAACAGCCTCTTTGAATGTTTTACTAATCAAAGAATCATACTGGAAACCATGGGGCTGATGTTTGCAAAAAAAAACCCCCAACATACCGCGTGTTTCTACATACGTTGAAGAAATTGTGGCTGATTTGGCTGGTTGAGCTGTATTACACAATTGTCAGTACTTCACCTGGCTCTGTTTGTGGCTCAGTTATTAAACGTAATCTAGCAAAGAATCATCTTCTGAGGTTCAACTGGGGATACTACTGCATAAATTTAAATTAATACTAGTGTAAGTGAAGAAAAAGCTTTTGTGAGATATTGCATTCTAGTGTTTGGTGTTGCCCTTTAGAAACCTTTTGTAGGTGTGTTTGATACTGCAGACATTATTGTTGCTGCTGGAACTGCTTTGTTTCTGAACTAATTTGTTTGTTGAATTCTTATGGTTAAGTTTAGATTGAAGTATATAATTTCTGTATGTGCTTGTTCACAGTAGTCTTGAAAAAGATGTGTAACAATTTCATGGAGAAATTTAGTAGATAGATGCATCATGAAGGAATATATGTGACTTGCTTCTGTTGTATTTTTTTAAATTCTCATCTTGATATGCATACAGGCAGTGTTCTTGGTTCGTTATCAATCCCTAGCTTGAGAACATTAACTACTTTACTTCTGTCTGTGTATCCAGCAGTTAGTCGTGCCTTTATTTGTACTGTGATAACGCCCATGTTCCTTGTTACGGGTCAGCACCTCATTGTGGAAGGCATTTTAGAAGCACAAACGCAAGACGACTACCCCCCCTTATGAAGAATTAAGAAGGGAAATCACTATGTTCAACAGCATCCTTTTTTGTTTAAAGCAAATTTCTCTGACTAGGTTGCCTGCAATTTAATCAGTTGAAAAAATAAATTAATTAAAGGATTTCTAAGCTTAAGTAATACAAATAATTTGAACTGACGAGACATACAGAACAGGCATTTGAAACCCTTTTTCTTCAAGTAGTAAAACCAGACAAGATAGTTTCACTTTTGTAATTGATTTCTACTCAGTCACTTTGTTCCTGTACAAAGATGAAATGTTTGAGTTGGGAACATAGCTGAAAAATGAAACGGCTGAGAAATGTATTTCTTACTTTCCAATGGAATTTCTCTGTTTCTTTAAACATTTGTTATTTCTCTACATGTTACGTGCACACTTTAAAAAAAAAACTTGCCTTTGAAGTCCCAATGATTTTAATCCCTTCTACGTTTATAGTGCAGTTCCTAAATACTCTATACAAGCAAACACTTATTCTATCAGCTTGTAAATAACACAGAAATTTTTGTTGCTGCAAAGCGGGAAGTAAAATGAGGCCATTATCTTTTACAAAGCAATATCATGCGGAGCATTTCAAATTCTTTTTGAAAATACCCCATTGTTCTAAGGCCTAAGGCTCACATATCTGATGGTAAGCTAGTGTGCTTGTTCATATTTTTAAAAATTCAAAGCTTTTGTAACCCGCTGACTTGTCCAGCAAGGAAGAGTCTTGCAGCAGTTAGCTACGATGCGTTCGTGTTGCAAATCTGGTACGCAACTGTGTGAGGAATCCTGGGTTTTCTTTTCTTTGTCTTTTGGAGGTAGATGTGCTACAAAAGGTTGCCCTGGACAAAAAAACCAAAAAAAATTAAACCCCTGGACTTCAGTTTGAAAGATGGGGTGTTGCTACTGTTCCCTCAGCAAGCCAGCGTTGAGGGTGTGATGTAATTGAAGTCTGAGCCTGGTGCTAGGGACTTGTGATGGCTTTCACTACCAGTGAACACAAAATACCAGTTCTGTATAATTGTAAAAGGCTTTCCAACTTTAGGACTTTGCTGCTTTAAAAGAAAGGGTCACCTGATTTGTCAGCAGTCATCCCACTTAATTACTTTTCTAGGAATCTTTAGTCTCTGGCCTTATAAAAAGTTTATTTTCCTTCTACTCTCAGTGAAGGAAATTGAAAGTAGGTCCAGGAGTCTTAAGCGCTCTGCTGTTTGAGACCTTTCTTCCAACACCCAGTATGTCTATGAGTAGTTGATTTTTCTGCCAGTGATATGTCACTGTTCTTAGATGCAGCAGTTTCCCTCTGTTCCTACGTTTGTTCTCCCACTGTATGTGCTGACGGCAGTCCTATCTTCTCCCAGCCATTACTCAGACCACAATTTTTAGTCTTGCATAAAATATCTCTTCCTTCTGTCACCTCTCTATCCGTTTTCTCTGTTGTCCTGTGTTCTGAATGCTGAGAACGCTTGATTAGTTCGAATATACCGTTCCAGATGAGAGTTTCCCTCCTTGCACTGGAGAGAACTCTGGCCGTGCATCTGGATCATACTGCCGCTGTGTTAGACCGATCACACAAATGCTCCTGTGACCACCTAAGACACCTGGACTCTTTGCCTTCGTTGTTCTCCCTCTCTGCCAGAGGTCAACCCTGAGATCCTAGTAGAAACGTAGTCTTTTTTACACTACTAAATTTCATACGGTTTCCATTATTTTTAGTTACCTGTTTCTTCCAATGCCTCTAGCTTGCTAGAAAACCCTTGCTTTCTGACTAAGTCATTGCTGAAGACACTGCACAAGATTGGTCTTGACGTGAGTTCTTGAGAGTCCTGGAGAGGTAACCTCTATCCAAGCTGGTATTTTACCTTCATTCCTGTTACGTCCATAGCAAGTTGCAGTCAATTCCTTGGGTATCTTGACGACATCTACTTGAGCCTCCCAGTTATTTTCTGCATGCTGCTACATTAGACGTCTTTGTCGAGTCTAGGATGACTAGACTGAATAAACTCGATCTTCCATATTTTTGTAGAAAACCATGTTAACTCTTTATGCCCAACTAGCTCAATATTTTACTGCTACTTTTTTCAAATAACTTTTTAATTGTCTCTGTTTTCATGCCTTCTACTTTCATGCCTCTTGTTAACATTTCTTGCAAATTCTGTCAGTCTGCATAGTGTTTAGATGACTGTGGGGTTGTCAGAATCTCCCCGTGTTATGTCTCCTATCTTAAATTTTGAATTGATAGTCTCCAATCCTATGGTAGTGCTCCTTGTTTGATAGATGACACGTAGAAACTATACTACTGGTCATGTGATTTAAAAATAAGTTTCTAGAAATGCTTATCTAGCACCTCTGCTTGCTGTGCAAGCATATACAGTATTAATACTTGTTAGAAACAGACTCCTGTTAGGGAAACATGAAACTAACACTAAAACATTTCTTAAAAGCCTGAGCGAATGTAAAACATGTAATAAAATGTTGTTTGCAAAACACATAGTTGCTCAGATTCTAAGTGGTCCTGGAAACTGCTGTAAAACAACTGACCCCTTATGGTGTGCATTGTCGTGAGGAAAACCTAGAAGGGGTGAACGTACCAGCACTGAGCTGCTGGGAAATAATCTAAAGGTTGGTTCTATTTTGAGCTTCAAA